TGCTCCTTTAAACCTCGGCAGCCAATCCTGTACCTCCAGCATCTTGTTGCCAAGCAACAGGCTTCCTACCTGTCCCATTGTGTTAGAATCTCCATGACAACAGATATTGCCAAAAGAGGGAGAGAGAGAAAAAAAAAGCTAGGTGATGGTAGGAGGAGGTGGTGAGACCCTGTATTTGGGGACATTAATGCACTTTTGCCAGCAACAACTTGCTCACTCTCAGGGTCCCCAGAGGGTGTCACAAATGGCCTAAACCCAAACCTCACAAGATAACAAGTCATGTGACTGACAGTCTGTGTAGCGATGTAGACTCTAGCTTAGAGGCATTCGTGTCAGGGGCAAGGATGAGAGCCATGGGCATTTTTGTGTTTAGACAGATGGACTGGGTGACATGATCATCTGTCTGTGGGTCAGCTCAGAAAGGCAGCGGATAAGGGGGATTTTCAATAGTTGCAAGAAAACTGTAATGGAGTGTTTTTCAGCAGGACATAGGTAGGGGTGTATCTGAACAGGGCCGTGCCTGGCCAGCTGCATTTAGAAAATGCTGAGGAGATGGATAAGGGGGGATGTCATAAACAAGATGTTGGGCCACACAGGCTCTTGCTCAAGGACTGCAGGTGCGTGTGAACCCTGTGAGATTCCTGGTCTGTCCAGCTCCAGGCAGTGGTTGGCCTCAGCAGCTTCTGCATCCCTTCCCACTTTGTCTGCCAAAGGGAGGAGGAAGCTTGCAGGGTGAAAGGGGAAAGGGGGAGGTGGGAAAGGAAGTGAGAACAGCATTGGGTTTCCGAGTGCCTGGGCTGGTACTGTACATGGGAGTCTGGCTCTTCCGGCCATAGGCTCTGAGGGCCTGGCAGATGTTCACCAGGTTGCTATGGGACCCACCCAGGGTGAGGAAGTCAGGTGATGTCTTAGAAAAGGGAAGGACTGAAAAGAGAGGTGAGGAAGCTGGAGTGGTTAGGGAACCTGAGCTCTACCTACCTGGACATGCGGTAGGGACAGACCAGGACCCTTGCAAAGGCAAAGACTTTCGTATTGCAAAACCTCCTCTCCTGCGGGCAAAGCAGGGGCAGCTTGGGCTGTACAACGGTACTTCAAAAAGTTCGTGGAAGAACAGAATTAAAAGGTAATATGAATCTTTCCATGGACTTTTGGAAGTACCCTCATATTTGTTGTTCAAGGCAGATAGTGCATGGGAGACCCCCCTCAACCCAGTGCCTGGCACAGATTGGATTCAGTGAACCCATCCAGCCACCCCATTTTGCTGGCACTTTCCCCAGTGGTACTGTCCTGTGAACTGCAAGACTTTCCTAAGGCCAAGAGTCATCCTGTCATCCTGTCCATGTGTCTGGCCCTAAGCATTCCAGGCAGAGGAGTATCTCTGCCACTCCAAACTCCAAGCAGAAGAACTAGAAAAATCCCAGCCCCAGTATTTAGTGCTCTCTGTAGACAGAAAGTTCTTTCTTTTAACCTCTAACTTTTAAAGTTCTTTCTTAAGTTAACCTCTAACTTAAGTCCCCAAAGTAGAGCAGTTCATTTGTTCTTATCTGTGTTCAACGGGGAGCGGGACCAGAACAGGATCTGCTGGCTGCGGGGGCTACCCCACGCATTTTCTCCTCCAGCTTTGCTCCCCCACTTGGCCTGGCTGTTCAAGAACATTGTTCAGGCTCTTGGTATGTGTGGCCAGATGGAGGGCCAGGCCCCCAGCAGAGGCTGCAGCCCCACTACTGAACAAGATACAAGATACTAATCACTGAAAAGGATGCAGTGAGCCAGATACTCTAAGACACTTTCTGAGCAGCAATCTGCAATTCGTAACTGAGAGTGTTTATATGACTCTCCCCTTGGACCCAGTAATTCTCCTTCTAAGAATGTAGCCTGAGGAAATGATGTGAGGCTCAAGCAAAATTTGTTTGGATGTTTATCACAGTGTTATGCATAATAGTGGAAAATTGGAAACAACCTAAATAGCTAGTGATGGAAAGGTTAAGTAGTTTTTGTATAATGCATTCACATAATAGTTTATTAACAAGTATGCTTTTGAATAACTTTTGAAGATTTTAAAATGAAGAGTAAAAATGCTTAATACATAGTGAGTGAAAAGATATAAAACATATGTATAGGATAAGCACAATTTCATAGTGCATGTGTGTGTATGTGCATAGTGAAAAGCCTGGGAAAAACCAAAACACTTAAAAATGCTAATAGTCAGGCCGGCCCATGGCTTACTTGGGAGAGTGTGGTGTTGATAACACCAAGGCCACGGGTTCGGATCCCTATATAGGGATGGCCAGTTAGCTCACTTGGGAGAGTGCGGTGCTGACAACACCAAGTCAAGGGTTAAGATCCTCTTACCAGTCATCTTAAAAAAAAGAAAAAAGCTATTAGTCGACTTAGTACAGTGGTAGGCTTATAGGTGATAGACATTTTCTTCTTTACATTTTTCTAGATTTTTCAGGTTTTTTTCTAATGAGCATGTTATTTTTATAAGTAATAAAAACTACCCTTTGGGCCGGCCCGGTGGCGCACTGGATAGTGCGCCACTTGGGAAGCGCGGCGGCGCTCCCGCCCGAGGGTTCGGATCCCACATGCAGACAGGTCCCCGCTCACTGGCTGAGTGAGGCGCGGGAGCGACGCCGAGGGTTGCGATCCCGTGGCCGGTCCCCGGTCCGGTGCGGGGGCGACACTGAGGGTTGCGATCTGTTGCCGGACACGGAAAAAGACAAAAAGACAAAAAAAAAAAAAAAACTACCCTTTATTAAGGAATTCTGTGTGCTATTGTGCTCAGCATTTTCTGTACCTTATCTTAGTTCATCTTTACAGAAAGTCAGTGATATAGGTGCCCTTGTTTTTCAGATGAGGCAGCCAGAGTTTGGAGAGGTTAAATAACTTTCCCTAAGCCACACAGCTTATAAATTGAACCAGACACTGAACAACACCCCTAAAAAGTTATAAAATGCAAATGTTCTCATTCCATGTGGGAGTGATGTGCATGACCAGCGGGTTTCCGGTCCAAGTGTGCAGATGCCAGCGCCTGCTGCCTCAGGTGGTCTTCCTGCCCTGCCAAACCCCCATCAACCCTTCTAGGCAGAGGTGACCCTATTCAGAGATCTTGTGCCAGGACTTAACAGAGCAGTGAGTCACCTAGAGTGGGGGTACTTGCATTCCTGGGTCTTCCCAGATTAATGGGGAAGGAGAGGAGGGACTTTTCCAGCTTTGGCTGATGCATGGGTTCCCTGAGCTCACCTGCCAGCCTCCCGATGTCTGGCAGGATGTTGGGCCCTGGGATGCTACACTCTGGGAGCCTCATAGATCATGGGACTTTTATTCCAAGATTGGGGTCAGTTGGCGGTGGGGAGGCTTCTCTCCTGCAGCTTGACAGAGGGGTCTTGGCGACCAGCCAGGCCTGGCCTCTCCCTCTGTGCATGGTTACCACACGAATGTGCTGCTGCTGAAAGCGGGAAGCCATCCTGGCTTGGCAACATCGTGCTGGCGGGAACGGGACCCAAGCACAGTTTTAGGTTGGCTCTGGGGGAGGCTGGTGGAGCCAGCAGTCAAGACCCTGGAATGAGAGAGGCAACAGGACTTGAATTCTCTTTCATGCTGGAATTGCGTGACCCACTTTTCAGACAGTAAAGCTAAGGCCTAGAGACTAACTCAGGGAAACACTTGGCGCTGGAATCTAGTCCAGCGTTCTGACTCCTGGGCTGCACTTGGCTGTTGGTCCTGCCACCAACTCCCAGTTCAGGTCTCTTATCCCCCACCCCCACCCCTCACATGTGGGGCAGGGGGGCAGGCACGTAGAGCTTCTTGCTAGTGTAGCTGGGTCTGATGCTAACTTAACTCAGCAGGAGGTCTGGTCTGTACCTCACAGCCCAGTTCCACTGACGGGTTTGGAGTCAGACTCCAAGTCCAGCCCTCTCCAAATGCCAGGATGTGGTGTTCCAGGCAGGGAACCAGCCCACACGCTGCAAAGTGGCTTGGGCCTCTGGGCTGGTGAGCTTTAAGAACAGTCCAGAATTTTCCAGACCTCTCCTGCCCCAGCACCAGGGAAGCTCCCTCCCCTGCCCCAGTCTACGAGTTCTGGAAGTATGCGGGATTTGTTGAGCGATACCACCTCCATCTGCCTGGCTGGAAAACTCATCTGTGGAGCTGGAAGCTTTAAGTTAGGGGAGAAAAATAATAATAAAGTGAGTGAGAGAAAGAAGGAGCTGACAGGTCTGGTGGGAGATAGGGTCGTCTGACTAGCTGCATGGGGGTCTATGTAGGCTCAAGTTTCTCTGTCTGCACTGAGCTCCCCCCAACCCCCAGCAGGGCTCCTCTTACCTCTGCTCCTCCCCCATTTGGCAGCTCCAGGGTCCATCTGGAATCTAAGTTAATGGTTAGAAAGCCAGACCTCTAGTAACTCTGGCCTGGGGGACAGTGATTTATACACACACACACACACACACACACTAGTAGAGAGAGAGATGGGGGCAGAACATGAACTGTCTTCAGGGCACCTCCCCAGGTGACTTAGAACCAGAAGCTTTAATCTGCATTACAGGGGGATACCAAGTGTTAGGGTGTTTGGAGATGGGGGCTGTGTAGCAGGAGTGTTCTGGAGCACGGGAAAGTGCCTGGTAGCAGGGAGAAGGGAGGGCTCCTTCTCTTCTCCACATGGCCCCAAGGAAGCTGTGTGCGGGCTCCACGTGCCTTCCGTGCCAGCTCAACTTCCTGGGAGGTATTTATAACCGAAGCCTCCAGCCCCCTGTGATTTGTGGGGCTGGAGTTTTAAACCATTGATTTTCATTAGCACTAAATCATTTCTCTTGGCTAATTGAAAAGGAACCAAGGATATTGAGAGCAGAGCCGTCTGTACAGATCAAATCAGCGAGAAATGCCCGTGTGCTGACAGAACACTTGTGCGGCTCTCAGCCCCCTCCCCGAAGCTCAAAATCCACTTCTGTCTCAGAGGTCAGAGGCTCTGAGAACAAGCCTGCAGAATGGAGAATCAGAAGATAAACTTGGATTCTTAGCAGGAGGGATGGAGGTTAGACACTTGAAAGAACTTCCAGCCTAGGGAGACGGGTGAGGGATTCTGAGAGGCACTGGAGGAATGCAGTATCTCCTCTGTGTAGGTATGTTTGAGCCGTCCATATGTCCTGCTTCTGTCAGCCTGGGCTTCGGTGGAACAGGCGCAGGGTCAGGCAGTACTGTTTGGGGAAGCTTGCAATGGAGCTGCTCTGGGAATGCCAAGTCTGGGCAGCGGACTGTTCAGAAGCCTCTCCTGGGAAAAGGACTGGGCTGGGCTGGAAGTGAAAGGTGAGGTCTTAGCTCCCGCTTGATCACTTAATTATAAATAACAGGAAACTGAACAATCTGACATTATCTGAAATTAACATGGCCAGCCCCATCTTTCCTCTGTAAGAGCACATTGCCACCTGGCCAAAACAGAGACCACGCCACAGTTGTAAGGCTAAGGGGATTCCTGAGTATGTTGGCAGAGCCCTGGGCTCCAGAGGTGGAGATGGGGAGGGGAGTGATGGGTCCCACCACTTGTGGACAATCCTAATCCCAATTCTGAGCCGGGAGCCAGCCAGACGGGCGCTGGGGGTATTGAGCTCCCAGCTCCTCCCCTGCCAACTCCCAGCCAGCAGACCCCAGCTTCCTCTGCTTCCTGCCAATGCTCTGCCCGTGCTGAAACACCATTGGCTACCCATCCTTGTTCTTCTCAACACAGACTGGGTGATTGCCTTCTCTGCCAAAGACCAGGCCCAGCTGAATGGCCCCCAGATGGCTGGCTAGAGCCCAAAGCCAAGGTCTACAGGCTAAGAGCTTGGGAAAGGGAGCGGACTCAAATCCCTTCCACTATGGCCTTCCCCACCACATGTCAGATCTTTCTTTATCGCTGTCCTGAGAGGTTGGCAGAGATTAGAGGCTGGACAAGAAGGATAAACATTTAATAAATGATTATTGCAGTCCTGTCCTCAGTCCTGGGGACCTCTTCACAATGCCCAGCCTGAGAAATGGGGGTTTCATGTGCAGGGGAGGCCGTGTGGTGTGGAGGAACAGAACTGGACTGGGAGTCACCCCAGGCTCAGTGGTTACTCAGTGGTGTGACTTGGGATAAGTTACTTCCTCCCAAGCATAGGGATGTTCTCATTAACTCCAAGGTCTATAACCCACAAATGTTGAATGAAAGTTGGATACCCATAGTGGGGTCCTGTTTTTGCAGGGAAAGCCTGTGAGTGCACTGCTAGCGAGCCTGGAGCCCTGAGATGGAAACAGATGGGGGCACACAGAGTCCCTCCTCATTTCTGGCTGGATGGGAAATGGGCCTAAGGGAAGGACAGCAAGGGACAGGGAGAGTGGGTGGGAAAGAGTCAAGCTTGAGATGTGTGTGTGTAAGAATGAGTGCAAGTGTGAGTGAACATGTATGACATGTATGTGAGTGTGTGTGTGTGTGTCTGTGTCAACGTGTGGGCATGTGCCTGTGTGTGTCTGTGTGATTGTGTATATCTGTGTGTGTCAGTGTATACATGTATGTGTGGGGTGTGTATGAGTATGTATACCTCTGTTTGTGTGTCAGATTGTGTACGTGTGAGGATTTGTGAGTGTCTTAGTCTGTTCATGCTGCTATAACAAAACACCTTAGACACAGGGTGATTTATGAACAACAGAAATTTGTTTCTCATCATTCTGGAGGCTTGGAAGTCCAAGATCAAGGTGCCAGCAGATTCAATGTCTGGTGAGGGCCTGTTCCTCATCGATAGTGCCTTCTATGTCCTCACATGGTGGAAGGACAAAAGGGCTTGATCAAGTGTCTTTTGTAAGGGCACTAATCCCATTCATGAGGGCAGAGTTCTCATAACCTAATCATCTCCGAAAGACCCTACCCTTTAACACTGTTGGAGATTAGGTTTCAACACATGAATTTGGGGAGAAACAAACATCCAGATTATTATGGGAGTGTGAATCTTGTGTCTGTGTGTGTGAGTGTACATGTATGAGTGTGTGTGAGTGTCACTATGTGCGTTGTGTTTGTCTGAGGGGTACAGCAGCACAGGTCTCCTCTTTGCTGTGGTACCAAAGGACACAGCTCTCTGTTCCCTGAGGTTGTTCAGCCTCCAAAGACCAGACTGGGCCTCTAACCAGAAGTGAAGCCCACGCTGAGGTTTACTCCTGGGAAGAAGTGATCAGGAGCTCAAGGGCAGAAGATAGTATGTGGCAGGTGGAGTAAGAAAGCTTACAAAGAGGCCTGTGTGCAGTCCAGGAGTTCTGTCTATGGCTTCTGGACCCCCAACGGTCATTCTGTCCACCTTCCTGTCCCTGAATAGGTCAAAACCTAAGCCATCTTCATGTAGTCACAAGTGCGTCATCTTCAGAAGGATCTTCATGAACAGAGATCTTTCTATCTCGCTAACCCATGCCACGGTCTTACGTGTGTTTATTTTGGAAACTCTGCCTGCTGTCTAACTTTATCCACTCCACCCCAATCCCATATAAATGGCCATAAATAAGAAAATAAAAATTTAGGTTAAAGGTGAAACATTCTGTGATCATGTTTATGCTATTCTGACTGGAATGGCTGACAAAAAGTGCTAATGAGAATTTTGGGGTAGAACAAAGAAGATAAAAGCTGTGCTGATGATTTGATGTAATAATCACTAGCATTTTTTCCGTGTTTATTATGCGCCAAGCACTGTCTTCAGTGATCCCCTTCTTATAACTCAGTCTTTGTAACGACTCTACAAGGTAGGTATTTTTATCATTCCCATTTTACAGATGAGGAAACAGGCCCAAGGAGGTTAAGTAACTTGCTCAGGACCACAGGCAGGAAGCAGCAGTGCCCAGATTCGCACGAGCATATGGGGTGGGTTAGGGTAGGCGGTCTGGGAAGACGTGGGTGGGGGCAAGTAGGGAGGGGGTTATTCTGGCTCCAGGGCTCTGTCTTCAGCCACCGTTCTGTACTGTGCAGTGTCTGTACCTCAGTGCTTGAGTCCACAGTACCATAAACGATTCCACTATTTTCCTTGTCCTCTCTCTCTCTTTTTCTCTTTTTGTTTGTTTGTTTGTTTGTATACCCAGCCTCTCGATGCTGTGGTTAAAATGTTCTGACCTTTTGGAAATGAGCATTTTAACTGCGCTCCCGAAAGGCGGTGCCGGCCCCTTTAACAGGGCCACTGCAGGAGGAGCTGTCCTATCAGCACCACGGCCGCGCCCCGCCCGCCCCCGACGCTGCTGCGGGCGCCTCCAGGGCAGAAAGAGCCGGTGGAAGGGGGGCTGGTCTGGAACTTTCTCCAGACGGGGAGAGACCTCTGAATACAGTGGTCGTCTTCCTTCCCCTCACCCTGCCCCTGGCCCCGCAGATCAGAGGGAGCTGACGCTTATGCTCTCACCACCTTCTGAGCTAGAGCAAAGTATCTATAGGCCAAAGAATACTCCCTGGCTCTGGGGTTTGCTGAGCATTAACCTGTAGCCTCCATGTGTCCTGATGGGGCCTGGGGCCAGAATGAGTGGAGTGAGGCGAGGCCTCTCTGGGAGGTTGGGGTGAGAAGGAGTCGGGGGCGAGGCACAGTCTCTGGAGCTAGGCTCTCTGGATCAAATCTTGGCTCTGCCATTTACTACCTGTGTGATCCACAGCAAGTCCCTTAGCCTCTCTGCGCTTCAGTGTCCTTAGGACGATTGCAAGTTAATATAGGTAAAACACTTAGAACAGTGCTTCTCACACAATAGCAAGTGCAGCTAAAAAGTGTTTGATTTATAAATAATGCACCAGATGGAGGATGAAAGAGCAGACAGTCGGCTCATCGACTGGAAAGGGAGCAGTGAGACCAGGTGGAAGTACGTGTTGGGTACACATACACCGTGTTCAGGGGCTGGGACTATTCCAACTTGCCCAGGAAGCCATCAGCCTCTCACCCGGCCGTCCACCAGACTGCCCCACTCTATGTTTGAATTTGGCTCATTCACTTCTGGGAGGAGGGACAGCTGTTCTCCTTAAGATAATTTCTGCCATTTCTTGAGCACCTACTATGTGCCAGTTGCCATGCTTTATTTTCTCATTTAATCTTTATGAAACACCAGGACTACTTATTGCAGATGAGGACTCTGGTCTCAGAAAACTTAAATAACTTGTCTAAAGCCACATAGGAAGAAGTAGCAGAGCTAGGATTTGAACTCAGATCTTCCATTTTCAAACTAGTTTCCTGCCTTTTCCATTGGTAGGTGGTTGGGTGTTACCATACCCAGCAGGGACAGCGTTTTTCCTTTTGATGCTACAGGTTTCTGATCCAGGCCTGGCAGATGTGCTTATGCTCTTCTGCAGGCTCCAGAAGAACCAGGCAGCTCGGCCTCCCTTCCTGAGTACCTGGGAACAAGAGATAATTGAAAACGAGAGTTCTTTTTTGTCATCATAACAACATAACATTATAATAATATCATAATAACAAAAACATTTGTTGGGCCTTTTGTGCCAGGCACTGTTCTAAGCACTTTACATTTATTAACTAACTTATTCTTCAAAGCAACCCTACAAGGTAGGTCCTAGTCTCAGTCTCACTTCACAGATGAGAAAACTCAGAGGTTCTGGGATTTCCCTGAGGTCACACCATCAGCAAATGACAGAGCCAAGCTTTGGACCAAGGCATTTTGGCCCCAGAGCTTATCCTATAGCCACTACACCACACCGAGTCTTTTTGAAGAGCAGGGTCTATATTGGGGCACTGACGGGTAGATCCCTGGGCATGGGGAGTTCCACCATCAAGTCCACTGCTTCTCAGACCTCAAACCACCAACCACCAAGTCAGCTGCTGCCTCTTCCTGGAAGCCTCCCCAGACCCTGCCTTGCTGACAGGCCGTGACACACAGATCATGTGCACTTTGTTTTGCCTCTCATCGTGCACAGTGCACATGCTGCTTGTAATGAGTGTGCATGTGTTTCTTCCCCACCAGATTGCTAGCTCTTTGAGAGGAAAACTTGGGTCTCAGCCATTGCAATTGCCACAGCACCTGGCAAAGCACCTGGCACATGGAAGGTGCTCAACCAAAGGGTGTGGTTGTTGAACAAAGGGATCCTGCCATGAATCCATTTGTAAGTATGACGTTCTTTTGTAACGGATGGTACTAATTCCCTTATGTAACTTACTGAGGACAGGGATTCCCAGAATGAGGAAACTAAAGAACACTTGAAGCCCTCCTCTTGTTCACTGCGGTTAAGTGGAATTTCAGATGGGGGCACTTAGAGGGAAGAAGAGCAAAGATAACATGTTCGGCTTTAGGGGATCTGATAGGATCCCCCAACTACACACACACACACAAACACACACACACACACACATACACAGTTTCACATAAAAAGGAAATAGGCTCCCTCCTTCCGCCTTCCACTCTGCCCCCAACCTTCTGCCCTTGAGACTCCCCAGACTCATTGTGAAGGCATTGCAAAGAATGATCAGTACTCATAGCCAAGCTCTTTGGCTTAACAGAGCCCTGTCCAAAAGAGACACAGATTGTCTTGCTTCTTGAGACATTTTTGTCTAACATGAGGCCTAGGAGATGGGAGCCATTACAGCTAACCCTGTTCATCTCAGGAGGCCATACATTTTCCCAACATTACCTTATTCAACCTACTCAACACACAAGGCTGTGGAGAGCAGGGGGGTAGAAAGGGTTACCCTCATTTCACAGGAGAATAAACTGAGCCCCAGAGCAGGCATGGTGTCTCCCCATCCTTTGGTCCATTAAGAATACAGATAGGGTGTTGCAGCCAGCAGGCTTCTGTGTGGACCCCAGGAGAGATCACCTTGGCAGAGGCCTCACCCTTGAGCTTTGAAGGTGCCATTGTTTGTGGGTCTCAGCTTGAATCCCACCCCCCACCCTCATGAGCATTCTCTCTCCTTTCTTCCCCAGTAATTTCTCCACCCCCTGCTACCAGAGAAATGCAACCCCAGAGTCTCCCTTCTCAATCCCCACCCTAGCCCAGGTGTGCCACCTGCCACTAACTAGGCATATTAAACCAGTGGCCAGGCTGGATTAGACCCATCATCTCCCTCCCCCCATGCATGCTGCCTATAATCTCATATGGGGAAATGTCCTGTACCAGCCTGGCCCCCAGTACTACCAAAGGCAAACAGAATATAAGGGGGACAGGAAAACTGGCTAGATCTGAGCAGTGCTGGGGAAAGAAGAGAGGGAAGAGAGGCCTCCCCAAGTGCTGCCTATGACTGATTTTCTTCTCTTCTGGTTTCCACCCCATAAATTGGATTCAGCCTCCTGCACACCCCCCTGCCCCAACTCCATCTCTGGAAAGCCCAGAACTGCCAATCACGGCAAGGTCATAGTTGATTATGGAGGCTGGGGGGTGCAGGCAGAGGGTGGATGTGCACTTGGTGGGAGTGGCCAAGGGGACCCATTGTTGAGACTCCCAAGTCCTGCTCATCTGCATTTGAATAGCACAGATCCACAGCTTTCTAGCGGGGTGTGTCCTTGGGCAGCTCATTTAACCTTCTCGACCTCATTTTCCTTACCTATGGAATAGCGATAATAAAACCCACCTTACAAGGTTGTTGAAAGAATCAGAAATAATGCCTCAGTAAAAGGCATCGCTGCTATGTCTAGGGCAGGGCTTATGCTGGGTGTCCTCTGAGGTCCCTTTAAAGGTGCTGAGTACCTGTGGTTTCTCACTCTGAAGGCAAACCAGGAAAGCTCCTTTGTAACCCCTTTCCCACCAGGCTAAAACAACTCACTCTCTTTGGAGAGTCCTAGAGATTGTCTGATTCTCCCAGGCTCCCACCTGGGCAGTGGTTGTCACATCCCTGTCTAGGCTAGGGCTCTCATCTGGGGAGGAGGAGAGAGCAGGGCCCCAACTGCATTGGAGAGGGAGGGGTGGGGCTCCTGTGACCTACCACGGGAATGTTTTAAAATCCTCTTACCATCGAGCTTTTGAAAAAATGATGATCCAGTAAAAGCAGCAACTGCATCTGCTCCATTAGCAAGTGAGGTAGTCGCAGCCTCCTGGCCTTAGGGCTCTCTTAGCTGGAAATCCAGCCAGCCATAGCCATAGCAACTGGGAAGATTGAAGCCAAGGGGGTCCAGGCCTGTCTGGGCAGAGCTAGGAACTTGGGATGCATGGAGGATAATGCAGGTGAGTTGGACTACTGGGGGGTCCCAGGCAACACAACCTGCGTTGGGGAGAGACTCCCAGCCAGAACCAAGATGCAGTTCTGGGTTCTCTCACAGAAGTGGCTCCCAGAATGGGTAGTCTGGACTGCCTAATTGGTCTTGGTGCCCATACTAAGATTTGGTGGGGATTAGGGCTGAGGGTAGAAACAGAAGTGGGCCACATGGCACTTTTCCAGTTCAGGGTATTGAATCTGGGAATGAGAAAGTCTCAGGGGTGTGGCTGCAGTGGGTCAGTGGTCTAAGGCCCTTTTTGTCGGTGGCCGGCTGGCTAGCTCAGCTGGTCAGTGCATAGCCCAGCTCTGTGCTGGAGGCCAAGGTCAGCAGCTCAGGGCCCACATGAGCCTTTGAACAGGTCTCCACTTATGCCTCTGGTCCTGCTGTACACTGTCACAGATGCACATAGCTGACCACTAGAACAGTGGTTGGATAGAAGGAAGATGACTAAGTAAATCACTCTCACCTCTACTGGGGAAAAATTCTGACTACAGATCCTGAGGCCAGGCTAAAGCATGGTGTTCTCTTCTTGTCTTAAAGACTCCCTATTTCTCCCCCTGACTGTACTTTCTAGATTTTGTCCTGCCCTCATTTTGCAGACTGGACATGGAGAGGTTAAATAATTTACCCAAATTTTCACAGATGCAGGTACTACGTGTTTGATATCCTCTCAGATTCCTTTATGAAAGTACTGCTCAGTGGCTGTCCTGGCATGCTGGGGCCAGGGACAGGGCAGGGTGTCCTGCATGGAGACTTCGGGCAGGCAGAAGGTGACTCAGAGCGTCCCTTCAGTCTGTGGCCTGGTGGGTGGGCAGGGGGTGGCATGAGGTAGAGCGGGAGGGAGTGGGAGTCAGGCAAGCTTTGGGTCTGGTCTTCTAGGCCTAGGCCATGGGCAGCCACCGGAGAGGCCGAGGGCAGCTGGTTGTGGTTCCCTGAACACACATGGCTTTGCCATTCTCTGATGGAGTTGGGGGAGGGTTGCTTTAGCTCATTAAAGCACAAAGTAGAGGCAAGGAGGAGCACTTCATAGCCCTTCACTTTCTCGGGAAATTATTTCCTCTGTCAGTAGAGCAATCCTACAAGCCCTGACTCACAGGCATTGCAGGTTGTAGTTCTATAAATCCATCAATGCTCAAGGGTCTATGTTGATTTCTTACAGTTTAGCCTATAACTGGTCCGGCACCACAGAGTCAAAGGTCAGGGAAGGTCAACAACAGCCATAAACAACCCGTCCTGTGCTGACAGCTTTCTGCACAGTATAGAAGGGGGCCTCCCAGTGGTCTTGGGTAGACTGGCCATGCTTTGGTAGGCTCTTCTCTGCCCAAAATGTCCTTTATCTGCATATTCACCCTATGCCAGTTTGCCCTTTAAGAATCAATGAGTATTTCCATTGTACATTTGCCTACATCTTTAATCATTTTCCTAGCATAAGTTTGTAGATTTGGCATTGTGTCCACAGCAGTGTGTGAGGGCCTTGTACTCTTACCAACACTGGATGTTATAATTTTCTCCAAACTGTAACTTTGACAGCAACAAATGATAACACTTAATTTGCATTTGTTCATTTCTAATGAAGCCTTTTGTTTTGTTTTGGTCAATTGTATTATTTTATGAATTTCTTTTGCCCTTTGTTCTATGGGGTGTTTTCTTTTGAATATTGATTTGGTAGAACTCCCTATATGTAAAAGTATTAACTCCTGTTTTTCATACATGATGCAAGTGTTTTTATAGTTTATGGATGACTTGAACCTTTTTGAAAGGTTTTTTTTTTTTTGGTCCATACAGGGATTTTAATTTTCATACACTCAATCTATCAGTGTTTTCCTTTATGATTTTTGCCTTTGATCTGGTGCTTAGAAAGGCCTTTCCCACAAGATTATGGAAGTGTTCATGCATGTGTTTTGCAAATTCTTCTATAGTTTCATTTTTTTTATGCTTAACTCTTTATCCGGAATTGATTGCATGTGTCTTCATAAACTGCTTTAAATTCCCTTTGAAATGAAAGTGATTAGTTCATTAACATGGTGGGAAAGGGAAGCTGGTAGAGAGGGAGGGGTTGATACAGGAAGGAGATGGGATCATTACAGATCAAGGTCTGGAAGAGAAGAGGTCAGGTGCTGTTGGTAGGGGGTGCATGGAGAGAGCCACCTTGCACCAAAGGTGGGTCACTCAGTCTCTGAGTCTAGCTGAGAG